ACAATGGAATATTATGCAGCCATCAAAAGGAATGAGATCTTGCCATTTGCAATGACGTGGATGGGACTGGAGGGTATTGTGCTGAGCGAAATAAGTCAAACAGAGAAAGACATGTATCATATGACCTCACTGATATGAGTAATTCTTAATCTCAGGAAACAAACTGAGGGTTGCTGGAGTGGAGGGAGAGAATCTTAAGTAGCCTCCACGCTCAGCATGGAGCCAGTCACAGGGTTTGATCTCACGACCCTGAGATCATGACCTGAGCTGAAATCAAGAATGAGAAGCTTAACCTACTGAGCCACCCAGGCGCCTCTAATAATTGCTATAAGAATCTGGTTCACTTATGTATGCCCTGGAGAAGAAACTTATGGGCCTCTTACTTGGGATAACATTTCATGTGATTTTTTGAATTTTATTTGAAAATTTCTAGCTGTAAACAGACCCCAGGGTACAGTAAAGTTAATAAATCGTTAAATACTGTTTTCACCTAATAAGGTTTCACTATGCCAGATGTTCCTGTTCCTTCTCTTGGTTTTGTAAGAAGCAATGAAAATGAAATACTGTCCTTGGAACTATGTGTTGATCTCTTCCTCTTTTGAATTTATTTTGTGATATATTAATTTTATATAGTTTACAGGCTGTGCATTTGGATCAGCTGCTATTTGGCAGTATGAATCACTGAAATCCAGGGTCCAGAGTTATTTTGATGGTATAAAAGCTGATTGGCTGGATAGCATAAGACCACAAAAGGAAGGAGACTTCAGAAAGGAGGTAAGGATAAACATGGCTTTCTTTGTTCTAGTTGATCACAAGTTTTGAAGTCTGGTTATTTGTGAAATGTTAGTGATTGATAACATTTAGATCAGTAGATACGAAGTTACTGAACTTAATCTTCTTTAGAGTCATTTCATTGCAGTGAGTATCAGTGCTTTGTATGTCTGGCAATACTGTACTTGACGGTGTTCTAAGAAGCTTGTCCCTCTATCCACCTGTATCAAAAATCACTGTGGATAGTTGCTGAAAATTAATGTGTTGGGGTCTCTGTAAGCCCTACTAAAGTTTAAGGGCTCCTGTTTTGCATTACCTTGCTGGAATATTTTAGAGTACGTAGTAGAATCACAGGCGGTTTTTCGAAGCACCTATGCCTTAGGTGTAGAGATATTATGTGGATTTTAAAAAGCGTCTCTGTGACATGATGTTTACATAGCTCTGATAAATACCCACTGTGGAATATTTCTAACTGCTCAGGGGATGAGGATGCAAGAAAAAGGTGCAAATATAGAGTTTTTAGAGCTTTTCATTTTTTCACATGCAAGTTGGTGACCCTCTTTCAATTTCTTCTTAACTGATTTTTTTTACAAATACTGCCTTTAAGATAAAACATATTTATTTCACTTGACAATACTTAACTGAGCACTGAGGCCCTAAGTTAATATGTGGTTCATTTGGTTTTCAAGTGACCTTTGTTTTTTGTTTTTCGGTTTGTTTTTGTTTTGTTGTTGTTGTTTTTTGATGACACATGCCTCTCCACTTGAGAGAAGGTTGATGTCCTCTTAATTTTCTCCTAACGATAATTCAAGACTTTTCGAAGTACAAAGAAGTATTCATTCTTTGTTTCCCCATAGACATATGCAAGAAGCCTGAACCTTACCTGTTTTAGAGAGGCTTTGTGTCCGAAGGACAATGGGTGTAATCATTTGCAGGTGAAAGCTACGATAGCTAACAGTGATTTATTCAGAACAGTATGTTTGGGAAGATAGTAACACTGACCTGTTCCATAATCCTGGATTCCTTAGAAGGCTATAGGTTTCCAGCATGTCTATATTATAAAGTATTTTTTTGGAGATTTTATTTTAGAGAGCTTGAATGAGAGAGAGAGCACGCGGGTGCATGCGCGTGCTTGAGCAGGGGAGGGCAGATGGAGAGGGAGAGGCAGAGAATCTCAAGCAGATTCCACCCATGGAGCCTGATGTGGGGCTCACTCACCGCCTTGAGACCTGACCTGAGCTGAAACCAAGAGTTGGGCACTTAACCAACTGAGCCACCCAGGTGCCCTATATTATGAAGTTTTGATGGTCCAAAGGGTTCTTTAGAATGGTGAAAAGTGACACAAGCAATAGACATAATCTTTATCCAAAGATGGATTGGTTTATAGTTAAATGATAGGTTATAAAATACAAAATCCATGCCCATTAAAGAAAATTAAAATAATACATAAATATAACATGGGAAGTGAAAGCCCTGGAAACCCCTGCCATACTGCTACATATGTGGGGAGTAAGGTCTGAAAGCTCATACACAAATTATAAAAATGTAATGAAAATTCAAAAAAAAAAAAAAAGTAATGATTGTTTATGGATCTGTAACTTTGTTTTTAACCTTGCATTTCTTTCTATATTAGTATTCAAAGTGTGGTTCAATATCATAGTTAGAATATATTTTTTATTTTAAAACTTTAATCATGGAGGGTGCCTGGGTGGCTCAGTCGTTACGCGTCTGCCTTTGGCTCAGGTCATGATCCCAGGGTCCTGGGATCGAGCCCCGCATCGGGCTCCCTGCTCGGCGGCGGGAAGCCTGCTTCTCCCTCTTCCACTCGCCCTGCTTGTGTTCCTGCTCTCGCTCTCTCTCTCTGTCAAATAAATAAATAAAATCTTTAAAAAAAACAAAAAACAAACTTTAATCGTGGAAAAATTTCAAACAAAACTAAAAAGTATAATGAACCCCTGTCATCCACCTTCAGTTATTGACACAAGGCCACCTTTGTTTCATTTAGTCCCCTTTGTTTCCTTTCCTTCCCTGCCACTGATTACTGTAAAGCAAATCCTAGGCATATTTCAGTGTGCGTCTCTGAAAGTTTCGGATTCTCTGTTTTTCTGAACCTCAAATTGTTATTATACCTTAAAAGGTAGTTTTAGAAAATATTTTTGGTTAGAATTTTAAGACTAGATTGGACCTTGGTAAATAAATCACTTAAGCTTGATACCTGTGTATATCTTGATAGTGTGCTAGGTGTTTCGTTATTAATATTTCTCAACAATATTGCTAGGTATCTATTGTCTCCATTTTATATATCAGAAAACTGAGGTTTAGAAGTAATTTGAGGTCACAGAGCTAAACAGTGGCTCTGTATGGAGAATGTAGACTATAAAGCACCTGTGTTTCTATTTTGCCACATATCTGTTATGTTTGTTTATTGGTAATTTTTGCACATGAGAAATCTTTTTATGCACAAAGCATTTTCTCTCTGGCTTTTCATTTTCCTAGCCTGAAAGTGTTTATCATATGGTGATAGGCAATTTTCCTTCTGTTTTAGATTAACAAGTGGTGGAATAACCTAAGTGATGGCCAGCGGACTGTGACAGGTTTGTGTTAGCTTACACGTTTTAGCCATTCAAGGGAAGAGAAATCAAACCAAAAGGTACAGTATGTCATAGTCAATGGCTTTTGTACCCTGCTCACCAGTGGTTTAGAAGACAGAGTCTCTGTACCTTCAGGCTAATGTAATAGTATAAAAAGTGGTGTGGCATAAAGGTGTACATGATGCTGTGGGTCACTTATTTTCTAATTTTGATCTAGTATGTTACTGATTGATCAAATAATCTTTGTTGTAGAATCCTAGCTTGTGAAATAGGTTATGAGTAATTATTACTTATCCTATTAAAGAAATTAAAGGGGACATTGATTAAGTACCTTCTTTATGCAGAATGCTTTATACACATTCTCTCCCTACCTCACAGGGTTGCTTACCGGGTAGTTATCTCCCTTTTTACCAATAAGGAAACTGGCTTTCAGAGAAGGAACTTTTCAAAGGTCACACTGCTAGTAAGTAGTAGAGCTAAGTTTCAAAACCCAGGTCTGTCTCATTCTAAAGCTAATTTTCTCTTTCCTGCACCATGCTGTTTTTAAAGTCTTCATTTATTAAATAAATGTAAGCATGCCATGCATGTCACCATGATAATTTAATTTTTGTTCTTTGTAAATTTTTATGGAAAGATAAATCTGGCTCTTCACGGTAACGTACATTATTTTATGGACTTAGTTATTTGAGAAATTTGGGGAAATGGATTTGAAAGTTTAACAGTTGTGCAGATAGGAAAAAAAAATCTTTTAGGGAAATAATAGCAAAATATTGCTTTTTCTTTTTTAAAGATTTTATTTATTTATTTGACAGAGACAGAGAGCAGGAACACAAGCAGGGGGAGTGGGAGAGGGAGAAATAGGCTTCCCGCGGAGCAGGGAGCCCGATGTGGGGCTCGATCCCAGGGCCCTGGGATCATGACCTGAGCCGAAGGCAGACACTTAATGACTGAGCCACCCAGGCGCCCCCAAAATACTGCTTTTTCTTAAATATGGTTGGACTTAATGGTACTCTTAATTTTCTTTACCTACCTAAGAGGATGTCTAAGAGTCCTTCAGGCTCTTTCCTTTGTCTGGAAGGTTTACTTTTTCTGTCTCCTTGCTGGAACCTGAACTGGTCTTCAAGCTTATGGTTTGGACATTGCTTCCTGCAGGAACTGTTACCAGACCAAAGTGAGTCTGTTCCTTGGTGAACTGTAGACAGAGACTACACCAGGTGGAGTTGCCTCACAATTATCTTTATTTGTACAAATAAGGAGACCATGGGGAATTATTTCCAAATCCATGACTCTCTGAACAGGGGTAAGCAGGCTCCTTTTATCAGGGCTTGGGATGAATATTCAGAAGGATAAAAGATTTTAATATTATAATGAAGCGGAGGTAACAGGCACTTGCTGATTCATCTGCACAGTCTTCCTCCTCAAATGTTTCTTTTCCTGCTACAGCAGTTCATTAGTTTCTAAAAGATGAAAGTGACAGGCAGAAGCTTCTGGGAGTTTCCTGAGTTCAGTGGGTCAGGGGGTCTTGCCAATAACAGAAGTGCTTTAATTTTTCTGAACTCATTGCACTTTTTAATCATTTATTTTTTAAGATTTTATTTATTTTAGGGGCACCTGGGTGGCTCAGTTTGGTTAAGCATCTGCCTTCAGCTCAGGTCGTGATCCCAGGGTCCTGGGTCCTGGGATCGGCCTGCATCTGGCTCCCTGCTCACTGGGGAGCCTGCTTCTCCCTCTCCCGCTCCCCCTGCTTGTGCTCTCTCATTCTCTCTCTCTCAAATAAAGAGATAAATAACATCTTAAAAAAAAAAAGATTTTATTTTAGAGAGTGTGCATGCATGAGCGGAGGGAGGAGCAGAGGGAAAGGGAGAGAATCCTTAAGCAGACTCCCCGATGAGTGCGGACCCCTCCCTCCATGTGGGGCTTGATCCCAGGACACCAAGATCATGACCTGAGCTGAAATCAAGAGTTGGACACTTAACCAACTGAACCATCCAGGTGGCCAACACTTTTTAATTTAGAACACAACCTGCCTTATGTAATTGTACATGTAGCATCCTTGAGGACAATGAGAGTTTTCATTTTGTTATAGCAACTAGCACGTGTCTTGCACACACTAAAGACACTTGATTAAAAATCTGTGAAGTGAATGAATATTGAATGGGCTCTTGAATCAAAGGATTGAGATTTTTCAAAGGTATATTGCCGTACTGTAGAATTGATTAGTCAGTAAGGTTTTAATAAGTATGATACCTTCAAAGATAGCTCTATAATAGCACATCTGTTTTCATTGATATTAACAGGGGGGTTTTGGTTTGTTTGCTTGTTTTCTCAAAGTAACCAAAATTAACATTATTTCCTTAGGATAGCAAAGTTTTGATTTCCTTTGATATTTTCAAAGTATCTCATAATTAGTTGGTACCTAGTGTTCTTTGAAGATGGTAAAGATTTTATGCCATTAAATATTTGAAGAAACTTGGGATCAGAATTTAAAACATTTCTCATGCCAGTAAATAGCTTATTCATAGAAGTTGGTATTTGGAGACCACTGAAAATCTGAATTCTTTCCCCTAACCTTTTGCTTTTCTCTTAGTCAAATCAGGTTATTTGGCATGTAGGGACAGATGTTTTGATCTAACTAGCAGCTTGAGTGTAAGGTGCTTTGAACCACAGAAACATGAACAGTCATGCTAAATCCTTATTATGAGATTATCTAAGTGCTGCTAAAGGCTGAGGAGATGCTGTCCCTGGGAATCACTTTCTCAAAGGTACTAGAGAACTGGCCTTGATCTTTTTTTTTTCCCCCCGTCTTTGGTTGGTTTGGGGATTTTTTTTTTTTTTCTGGTATTAATCTTAATTATTAACAGAAATATCTCCCCAAACTTCACATTGCTTTGAAAAAATGTTTTTATATGTTCACTTGGTATTTGTGGGAGCATCTGGTAGCATTTTTCAAGTTATATTTGTGCCTGGTGCTTTTATACTTCAGCTAGTCTCCTGTTCTGTTGCTTTGATCTGCAAGGGTTTTAAGGCTGCACTGGAGGTCCGTAGGCAGCCCCCAAGGAGAGTATTTCCCCTACCTTTGTAGCTTCCAGGTATGCCTGTGAGATACCTGCCAGGTTTTTCTATTAGCTCAGCAGAATGCTGACTTGACTATTTTGGGAGTCAGGTAAAGCTGAGAGAGAAGAACCTGCTAAAATATTGTATCTGAAGGAGGGGATAGGGAGTAGGAGGATGGGAAGAGAAATCTCAAGAAAACATTGCCCCGTTTTTCTACTAGTCCATATCCATTGTCAGCTCCAAAGTTAGTCACCACTATACCCTAGGGCCTTGCCCCTTTTGCTCCAACCTCTAACGTTTATTTTTTATTAGTCTCTATACTCAAAGTGGGGCTTCAACTCACGACCCCGACGTCAAGAGTTGCATGCTCTACCAACTGAGCCTGCCAGATGCCCCTAGTTTCACTTTTCTTTCCCTTTATACCTTTCAAAGATTTTGAGCTATACCTCCTAGACTAAGGTCTGCTTTCCTGTTCCTGAAGTTTCTGGTAAGGCAATGCTCACTGGATCTAGCTAATCTTGACCTTTTAATTTGTTGCTGATTTTCCTGAAATTCTTGGCTTCTCAGTTTTCAGACAGGTTATTTCTGGGTAAAGAAAAAACTAATGTTTGAGTGCCAGTTAGACTTCAAGTGCTAGGGTAGGTACTTTACATACATACTGTTATCCTTATCAATCTTAATTGTAAGAGCCCTGCTAGTGGTATTCTGATTGTTCAGATGGGGTAACTGAGGCTCAGAGAGGTTAAATAACTTGTCTGAGCTCACACAGCTAGAAAGAGTAGAGATGGGGAACAAACTTTTTTTTTTTTCCAAGCTCACCTTAATTTAAATAATATACATATTATTATATCCTTTCATGTTCTATAGCAGATCACCATTAAATTACCTTTCTGGTGAACCACACTGCCTGCTCCCAACCCAGGTATCTGGGTGTTTATTGACAGCCCAAATTGTAGTGACTTGTCCCAAGACAGCAGGCTGGCACTCAGGAATGAAAGGGAGCCCTTTTTGTCTACTTAAGGTTAGTCTTTGTCATTGTAAAATGAATAAATGTGCATTGTAACAGGTTAAAATAGTGTTAAAGAGTATGTAAAGTGAAAAATCTCTGTAACTTCCAGTTCTGCAGTTTCTGTCCCCATAATAACCACTGCCTTTTTAGTTACACTTGTGTGTTTATATATAGGTATTTATACTTCTTTGCACCTTGATTTTTTTTTTAAATTCTGTTAATATTTTAGAGGACATTGTATCATTACAAGTAAGTCTATTACATGTCAGATGTATGTTTTTCACAAACTGAGCACATCCATGTAATTAGCACCCAGATCAAGAAATAGAAATTACCAGCACCCTGGGCTCAGAATATTCTTTTTGATAGCATGATAGTAGTTCATGCCAATGAATACTATGTAACAAGTCTTCTCTTAATAGATACTTAGGTTGGTGTTAGTCTTCTATAAATAATACTGCAGTGAATATCCTTACATAGAGATATTTGCACCCTTTTGCAAGCATATTTTTAGCATGAATTACTGGAAATAGACTTGCTGGGTCAAAGAGTATGTACATTTAAAATTTTGTATGTTGTCAGGTTGTCTTAAAATAAGTTGTATACCAATTTAAACATCCTTTAAGTCATTTAAGTCATTTATTTTCTAAAAGTTGCTCACAGGGGAGGTTACATATTCTCATCTACAAGGAAGGTTACAAACTAACCTTCTGTGATTAGTTTGTAAAGGTTTTTGTCTACTGTGAATATGCCCCATTCTTTCCATCTACCCTTACCAGTTTCTAACTATCTGCATCCCAGTTGGAGGATTTAAGGTGGATGGTCTTTCTGGATTTCCTCTTAATTCCAGGAAGCTGTGGGACCAGTCTTTAACTAGTTTTGTTGATACTGCCCAGGAAGAGAAATTGTAGTCACTGTATGAGGCCAACACTGTATGAGG